TGTGTGCGACTCCGATCGGAGCTGCCGCTCCACCGCTACCGGGCGGGGAAGGTTTCCCCGAGCGCCGCCGGGAGAGCCGGTGCTCGGAGGATATCATCCCGCCTTGCCGTGCCGTGCCGTGCCCCTCCTCCGCGGCGCGGAGCGCCCGGCGGAGATCTCCCCGCTGAGGAGGAGCCGGGAGAGAGCGCACTCTGTATCGCATTAAATTAATCGCCCGGCTCCGGAGGAGGCAGGTGATTCTGCCAAACACAATGAGGGGTTTGAGCGCTGCGGAATAAAGCGCCGTTCATGGGGCCGTGGGCGGCGGTGCCCGGCTCTGCCGCGGGATCGCCAGCTCCCTGGGGATCCCGGCGCTGCTCCCCGCCGCCGGCCCCTTGTGCGGGGAGCTCCGGCTCGGCGCACCCCACCCTCGCCCTCGGGATGGATAAAGGCAGGGCGCGGGGGGGGAGCCAGCAACCGCCCTAGCAGCGGGGGAACAGCAGCCCCTGGGGACGGGAGGGGGGGGGGGGGGGGCTCTGTAGCCTGCTTCCCCCAGCCCCCGCCCTGCGCCCCCTCGGGGGCGGCCCTTTGGGATGGGAGGGGGGAGATGAGCATCAGCCTCCCGAGGGGAAGCAGGGGCCGAGCGACGGGGATCGCGCAGTTCGCCGTGCAGGGCGGTGGGGAGCGCGGGGCCCCTGGGCGGCCTCCGGGCGGGCGGCGCTGCCCGGGTTCAGGCAGTGGCAGGCGTTGTTTTCCTCGGAGAGCGGAGGAGGAGGAGGAAATCTCCGGGTTTTTAATGAGGGGGTGCAGAAGGGCTGAGCGCTGGGATTACACGGCGCGGAGACAGAGCTGCGGGCTGTGTGTGCGCGCAGGGCTGGTAGTCTCCGCCCGTCTGCCTGCTAATCGCACGTTTTCCGCTGTTAAAAAGAAACCGAGACACTGTGGCCGAACCCAGCGCTGTCTCTGTGACTGTGACATGAAAAGATGGCGCTCTCTCCCCTCCCCCAGCCTCCCTCTCGGTTTACACTTCCTCCCCAACAGCTCTTGCCTTCCAGTTTTTTAAAGCCCTCTTTGCTCTTTCCTTCCCCCCCTCTCCCCCGGCCGGATACCACCAGCTTCCCAGCCGTTCGGTGGGTCCCTCTGTTGCGACAATTTCTGGTTGGGTTTTTTTTTAATTTTTTTATTATTATTTTATCTTTACCTTGCTATTTTCGTCTCTCCCTTTTCTCGGAAACCTCGATCTCTTTATGGCTCCCTCTTTTGTGAACTTCAGCGGCAGTTTGCAGGAGGCCGGGGGGAGGAGGGGAAGGAAAAGCGGGGAGGGGGTTACCCCGCCGCTTCTCCCCCCCCCCCCTCCATTTCCTCCCTCTCCCCCGAGGCAGCGGGGGCAGGAAAGTGAGCCGGATCTAGGTGTGTGCGTGTCGGGGCGGGCTGCAAGGAGGCTCAGGGAGGTGCCTGCCCGCGCCGGCGACCTGGTCGCGCTGCGGTTGCCCCGTCGCCACAGGAGCACTCGCCCGGGAGGGGGGGGGGCGAGCGGGGGGAGCTGCGCTGGAGCGATGCGGCGGGAGGCATCCCCGTCGGAGGAGTTTACCTGTCTATAAATGTTTTACGGTGCTGCACGCACTAAGGTGGTCCCAGCTGCCGGAGAGGGTTCGCGGCCCCTCTCCGAGGCAGGAGGGCAACTCCACCGCCTTCCACATCACTCCTTGCGTTCATCATCAGACCGCTCCAAGTGCTAAATTAGGGGTTTTTTTCCTTTCTTTTTCTTTTTTTCTTTTTTTTTTTTTTAAGCCTGCAAATTAAATTCAGCGCCGCTCTCCTATTTTAGTGTCTGTTATGTTAATTGCACTTAGCGCTGGGGCGCTGCTCGCCAGGGATGCATGAAGGCCTCGGAGATTAACCGCAGGCTCCTTTCTCGGACTTCCTTGAGGCAGCGGCGAGTGCCGAGGGGCTGACAGGGAGTCTGCAAGATCCCGTGTGCTTTCGGGCCATGCTGCTGCCGGCCAGCACCTCTGAACTCGGGGCCAGCGACTCCCAGCTGGTAGGTCAGGCTGGCAGCAGTTCCCTGTGCGCCCGCAGATCTATTTGCGTAAGGATTTGCATTGCGGGACGACAGGTATTTTTCCTCCCCATGGATGGTAAAAATGCAAAATTAGCGTGACTGTTTCTAGGCAGAGAAGCCACGGTTACGTGATCTTGCTGAACCTGTCGGTTGTGCTTTCTGGAGCAGCAGGGAAACCGGACACCTTTATCAATGACTCCCGGAGCTGTTCTCCTGGGCATTCGCTGTATTTATCGCCATCTAACCCCTGGCAACCCGGTAATGCCGTGTCGCGGCCCCTGCCCTGCCCGGGGACGTCCGTGCGGCCGTTTGTGCCCTGCGGTGTTACTCAGCCTCGCTGGGAAGGAGTGGGCATGTGTGGCCTTCCCGGGCATGTCCCTTCTACAGCGCCTACTTCATCTATTTGTTATCAGGGGACGGCGTGTGGAGTGACTGAGCCTAATAAGTTGTCCACTTGTTCATTTCAGGAGCATTGATTTCTGGTTCCAAGGCACTCTGTTCTAGCACTGGCTACAGCTGCGGGGCATTTCACAGCTGGTCTTTCGCCTAGACAAATATCAGCGAGAATGTAAGCGTTATTAGCCACATAAATAAATCATTAACGTGCACACAAATGTTATTTTAGAATAACTTCCAGGGAGAAAATATCCCGGCGGGGCAAGGTGGCGAGGCGTGCTGTGGTGGATCGGCCCCATCGCGGGACTGCCCGGCAGCAGCGGGCCGGGGGTCGGCGCCCCCCGGGCACGGAGCCGGGAGGAGAGACACGGCTCCCCGGCTCCCGATTGAACATTAACAAGGCCGGTCCGGTGTGGCACGGCCGCGGGGCCTTGCCTCGCAGACCTTTGTCTGCTCTCCCGAGGCCGGGCGGGGACGGCGGGCGCTTTGCTCCCCAAACGCGACGGCACTAATGAGATTACCGGCCGGCTGGCCGCGGCTGGGGCTGAGGAGCGCCGAGCCAGCGGGGCAGAGCCCGGCCCGGCCCAGCCGCTGCGCCTCGTTAGCGCGGAGCCCACGGCAGGGATGATATTTGCTTTTGGCCTCCCGCGAAGGGCCGCCGGCTCCCCCCGTGCCCGGCGGCGGCGAGCGGGGAGCGGCAGCCGCCGCCGCCCGGGCCGCACTCGCCCTGCCCCGCGGAATCCCGCGGGTGCCAGTAAAGCCCTGCCTGGGAGCCCTGCCAAGGCGGTCTCGCTTTGATATTCCGCGCCACGGCCGCTCCTCCGCTTGGTCCTAATCACGCAAATGCGAGCTTGCCCCGGCACTCTCCGTAATAAACACTGAGCGTGTTTCGCTGGGCTCCCAAAGTAAATACTGTGTCGGAGGAGCGGGGCTGCGCTGGGAAGCTGAAATCTTTCACTTTTTCGCACTTAGCAACCGACTGAGAAGTCGTGTGCGCCCTCCCCGAGCCAGGCTCGGTGTGATTTACTTTCTGGTTGCAATGCAGATATTCACTTGTCAGTTCAAGGGCAGGACAGAAACTGTTGCAAGCGGAGTCTTGTGAACGGAAATCTCCCATTTACGAGGTTCTGCTCCACTACCAAAAGCCACCCTCCAGCACCTTTGTTCTGCATGCAGCTGCTTTTACACGCACACACCCCCCTTCGCCCCCCACCCAGCCACATCATCATCCGACCCTTCTTCCCACGTCTCACTCTTCAGATGAATTCCTAGTCTTTTCCCGACTGACCCTGAGGGAGGCGAAGGGGGGGAGCAAGGGGGAGGGAGACCGGCAGAGGTTGATGATGAATGACAAGGCAAATGATAAGAGCCGAAGCGACAGCAAAAGCAAACAGAAGTGGTCTCTCGCAGGGCCCAGCCCCGTCCGCGGCCACGGGACTTATGCCTATGCCGTGAAGGCAGGGTTGGCCTCCGCAGGCAGCCTGGGCTTCTCCGGGCCGAGATAAACACATTTCGGTCACGTGGCGAGCCTATACGGTGCCATGCTCCTATTTGCCTTCCCCGCTCGCTTTTCACAATAGCATGCCATCCGCCAGCCAGCTCCAAGGCCAACCTCACCTCCCTGGCGCCCGGCCAGCCCGTCCGGGCCCGGCCGTGCGGGGAGAAGCCGTGGCTCCCGTGAGGACGTTGCACCCCGACCTAGGGCTGGCAGCAGCCCAAGCCAGGGCATGGGCAGGGTCCGACCGCATCTCGCCTTGGGGCTAGAGCGGGAGATGCCTGCACCGGAGCGGGAGCAGAGGCCAGGGCTGGCCGCACGCCCGGGACAGAGCTGAGGGAGAGCGCGGCGTTCCCGCAGGGTGGAGTTTCGCCCGGGGACCGCAGGTGCGGGGCGTGTGCGCGTGGTGCCGGCTTCGGGGAACCCCCGCATCTCCGTCAGGGTCGTCCGGGCATGAAACAGGCTTCAAAGAGAGGAGCGGGGGATCGGGGCACCCTCAGCGAGACGCCAGCATTGCTTCTTTAAAATGGCTGAAAAGGGTGTCCCCGAGCATCCCCTTCCCGGTAGCAGCGGCGGCGGCGAACCTCGTCGCCCCGAGCACCGCGGCCGCCGGCGGCAGCCCCGGCTGGTTGCGGGAACAATGAGCCACCGCGGGCGCGCCCGGTGCCTCCCCGCTGCCGGCCGGGGGCTGCGCCGCGGGGCCGGGGGTGCGGGAGGCGGGGGAGGAGCTCGGGGTGAGCGGGAGGCTGGAGCCGGCCAAGTGCCCCCCTCTTCCCTCTCCCGCCCGGCGGAACGAGCGTGCCGTTTAATCCCTTTATCCCCGCTCGCTGGTGGCGGTGCGAGCCGCCGGGCCGGGAGCCACCCGCCAGCCGCCGGGGAGGCGACGTGCTGGCTCGGCGCCGCAGATGTCGCCGGGTTGGGAGTAAGGAGCTGATCCCCAGCGGCACCACTTCCACAGCGGCGGCAGCCCCCGGGGACCCGGGCACGGCTTGGCCGCGGAACCGGGGGGTTCGCACTTCTCGGGGCCCCCGAGGTCTCCCTGCCGTCGGGCACCGCAGCCGTGCCCCAGCACCCCGATCGGGGCCCCGCGGCCTCCGCATCCTGTTCCCGGGGCAGGCCTCGATTCCCTCCCCGCGGGAGCATGGTCTGCAGCCTCCCGTCTCTCCGGGCCTCCTCGGAGCCCCTGAGTGAGCGAGGAGCAGCCCCCGGTGCGGTGCCCAGGTTGCAGCCTGTGCTCCGAAATCCGGCAATTATGCAAATGCCCGGGATGCTCTCCCCTTTGATCTGAACTTCCTCGGAATGATCCCTTCTCATTACGAGGTATGAAAATGCCTCTCGGACGTGTAAAGTGAGCTACAGAGCTCCTTTCATCCCCTTTTGTTACCCGCACCGGGCTCGCCTCTCCAGCCCCGCATTCCCCAAGCGCCGGGAAAGGGGACGGAAAAGGGCTCCCGGGGGAGGCGGGGAGACGTGGGAGCAGCCCGGGCCGCCGGTTGTCATGGCGAGGCCAAGCGTCTTCCCAAGTTATGTGCGACTAATGGGTTTGCGCCCCGCTCGGCTCCGGGTTCACCTTTCCCCCCGCTGCTCGGATCCCCGCCGACCTTCCCGCCCGCGCCTCGGGGAGGCAGCGGCGCCCCCCGCCCCGGCCGCCCCGCCGAGCCTCGTCCCTCTGACTCACTGCCTGCATATCAAACGCCGCGGGGGTTCGGAGCGCAGGCGGAGGGAGGGGGCGAGGACTCCCGCCGACGGGAGTACAGTCCTCGAGCGACTTTAAACTCCATCTTTTGCTGCGCTCCCTTACCACCTCTTGTTTCAGTTTTGATAACTGAAGCTAACGAGGCACTGAATGTATCAGAGGTTTAGAGTGTCTGCGCAACCTTGGATATGATTTTCAAGACTCCCCAGAGCCATGGCTGGGATTTTCTGTTATCTTATTTTCTCGCTCTCTTTTATTTTTTCTTTTTCCTTTGAAGAGATATTAAGAAAGTTTATGCTGTCTTGGAAACTACTCCTCCCGTGTAAGAAAAACATTCTGACCATTTGCTGGAGGCCATTTTATGAAACCTCAAGGAGGTTAATAGCTTGAATAATTTCAGGAATACCAGGTGCCTCCTTAATACCTTTTTCTCCTTTTCACCATTTATACAGACAAACCAGGAGCTCTGTAGGCCAAGCACTCCTGTGACAGACAATGGATTCCTACCTATCTGAGGGGCCTGTGCTAGAAAACGAATGGACTCCTTCCCTGCTCTGCTCATGCACGGTGCTGAGAGAAAGCCTGTAATGTATCTGTGAGACTAAGGGATGTACACAGGAGAGAACATAGTGTAAGGAGTCTACCCTAAGCACAGAGGTTGCTTTTTTCATTCTGTGGAATTTGCTATTTTGTCTAGAGAAGCATCGGTAGATGTGGCATGAATGAAATTGTGCTGCTGCGAAACAAAGCTGAGCAAATGGGAGAAGGAGAATTATTTGAACTGTTTCTAAAATGTTGTCATGTTTGCTAACAGCTGCTCAACTCTGGTGTCTAACAGGCTTTGGAAAAGAAGTGTATTAACAAAAAAAAAAAAGGAAAAAGGCAATGCCCCTGGTTGCTTACAATTAAATGATGACAGCTTATAATGCATTCCCTCAAGACCTCCAGTAATATCAGGGCTCAGGGGACTTGAAATACCTAATTCATAGATTTTTTTTTTTAAGCCAAGAACGAACTGTTATGATCAGCTGGTCTGACCTGCTACATATCATGGGCCAGTGAATTTCAGCCAGACGTTCTTGTATCAGAGTCATAAATTCTGCCTGAGCTTTTAACCTGGCATCCAATCTTGCTCTAAAGACTTTTAAGTAACAGGAAAAACCACTGCTTGCCTCAGTTGTTCCAGTGGTTATGTCCCCTCACTGGCTTAAAAAAAAAAAAAAAAAAAAAAAAAAAAAAAAAAAAAAAAAAAAAAA